AACTTCTATTATGGATGATGGCCTCATTCACGGGGGCCAACCAGATGACAATTGGGAACCCGTAAGACGAACCGGAGTGTAACAACACTCTTCCCACTAGCAATCCCCAGTACTTGGTATTCAGAAGTGTACTGCCTCCAGCAAACATCTGGAGGACACCAGGTTGAGGAATGCTGCTCTAAGGGGCAAGGGACAAACTATTGGTCTTGTACCATCATCTGGTCTTCCAACAAGGTTTCTTTTTGTATTTAAAATGGCCCTGCTTGTTCCTTTAACGACATCATATGCGCTTGCCAAAAGAGAAGTGATCTGATTTTTGAACACAGTGTTTCTTGGGAGTATATCATTATCAAAAACACACAGATAAAAAGAGACCGAGGGACGGGGGAAGAGGGCAGAGGCAGCTATTGGATGGTGCGATCACACTCTGAATGGCAGCTTTGTGTGAACAACTTGAGTCTCCTAACTGAGGATACTTGGCTGACATGTGCAGCCAAGCATTTTGCATGCACAGAAGCCTTCACTGTATTTTGTGTGCTCTGCATAGATTCCAGTTCCAATATAAACACACAGAAAATGGTTATTTCCAAGACTTGGTGTTTTTAAAAAAATGTTTTGGTGTGCTAACTGCAATATAGGTTAAGAGCTACTCAACAGCAGGGAAGAAGAAAAAGAGAGAACGATGCAACTCAATGTCCCTCTTTCTCCACAGTTGCGTCCTCCATGAATTCATACTATTTTATTCACACACAAAAAATCCAGTATACCCTAAGAATAACCAGTGCATGGAACTTGAGGGGAGTATTCCCTAAACACAAATACCACATATTTTCCTCCTAAATATTCTTATAATATTTAATCCATAGTTCTGAAAGTCTTAGGAGATGCTATAGTAATGTTGGTATGCTGAGACAACGAACACCTGTTAAGACAACTGTCCTTCAAAGCACACACAGATTAATATGACATGCTGTTTTGCTGATGGTGGTTTTTTCTTCTTAAAAAAAAAAGTTGCTAGGACTCATAAGCTGTAGAGGATTTTGTGATGGAATGACCAAGACAAAGAGAAGGGGAGAAGAGGGAGTGTTGTATTAAGTATATTTTCAGTATTCTGCTTCTTTTATTACTATTTTTACAGTTCCCAGGATTCACCATGACTGTTAAAGTGGTATAATAGTGATTTAAATGCATTATGCGGATGTGAACAAAATTTAGAAAATTTTCAAAGTGGTTCTCAGGGCCAAAGAAGCTAGCCCCAGCTGGCTGAAGAACTAACCTAATTTCACATATATACTAATTAGTAGTGTGATGTGGTGAAAAGATGGACAGTGTGAACAGTAGCTTTGCTTTAAGTTATGCTATCTGTGGTAAACATATTTTCTGTCTATTAAAATGATTCATCAATCAAAAGGGTGGAGGAAAGCGAAGGAAAGAAAAATAAATCACACTTCTTGATGATCTGAGACTGGCTGCTGGCTGTTCCTCTAGCCTCCCCATCCATTTTCTTTTCTGGATGAAGCACTAGAATATTATTTGGGAATAAATGAAAACTTTACTCTGCTTTTCAGTTTGAAAAACAACATCAACAACTAGCGAGCTGGTTTAAAAGTTAAAATAAATATTAAAGCAACCACAAGACAGCACTAACATTACACAAAAATAGCAAGAGCAGATACAATAATAACACCAGAAGCTAAAAATGGCAGCATAACAGCAAAGGCAATTCAGCATTTTAAGAGTCTCCCGGGAACAGCATCTTTAAGCAAGAGACCACAGCTGAAAAGACCTTTTCCCTGATCTCTCATGAACATTCATTTAAGATATATTTTCTACATATAGATGTACTTTTATGCTGGGAGGTCTACACTGAAGCTTAGCTTACATTTGTTTACCTAATGAGCAGTTTATAGCACTGCAGAGTCAACATGACATGTAGCCACAAGCTGGTGGAATTTCTCTTAGGCTTCCTTATTTATTCTCCATATTGATACGAAGGTTGGGCACCACCCCCAATCTATGCCGAGCTGGGGCAAGATTCCAAGGGGGTTCCAGGGTCTGTGTTCCTTTGGGAATCAAGAGACAGTGGAGAGTGTAGCAGCTTTAAGAAATAGGATTTATTCACATTTCATATCACATTTACACCTGAGTTTGGATGGAGGGAATCCAGATTGAACCGCATAGTCATCTCAAGAGGGGCTACAACAGTGCAACACTGAAGCCCCAGGCATCTCTCTCCCATTCTCCCTTCAGCCAGCTTGCCAAAAACAGATCTCCCTTTGTTCTTCCCTCTTGTTTCCAACACACCTTGCTAAAGACACCCTTCTTCAGATGCCTCACATACACACACCGCGTCAGCTTGGCAACCTCTGTCAGCCTGGGCCCAAGGATTCCGTTTGTCATGCTAACACCTCTATCATACCTGCCAAGTGCCCTGGAAAAAAAAATGGAGCATCCCATTTTCCCGCATGAGATATTGGCGGCCATTTTGGGTGCTGCTTTCTCACGCAGCCCTCTCGCTGCAAAAAAAGCACTTGGGGGGGGGGGAGCACAGTGTGGGTCACATGACTCACCCAGAGCGCATCCCAGATTTCAATCAGAAAAAGTTAGAAGGTATGCTCTATCCCAGGTGAGGCCCTGGCTTGGAAAGGAAGCTTAGCCTGTATTTGTCCACTGCCCTGGAATCTTCCCTTTAATACCACAAATATTAACAAGATTCTGGCATTCATTAATTTGTTGGGTTTAGGGGGTCTTTCTATATCATCTTCCAATATGTGATTTCTTCATTTGTCTTCTTACCAGAACAAAAGTCCAAAACGCTGTCCTGGCCAATGATAAGGGACAACGGATAGAAAGGTAAAAAAAAAGTTTATTTCTAAGCTGCAGCATTAGAAGGCATTGACAGGATAATTCCAGAAATAACTGAGCCTTGAACAAAGCAGGCACAAAGCATTTATAGAATTGTAGCAAACACATAAACCACACAAACACATGATCTTTTGTGTCACTACTGGCCAGGAAAGCGCATGGACAAAGTGCATGGACAAAGTCCGATATTCTCTTCTTGGCTACAGGACAGTTACTTCTTGACCTCAAACCAGGCTAGGCGTAACTGGCCTTGTAGTTGCAACTGTGGGTACATCTTGCAGCTAAGCAACTGTGGATACATTGCGCTTGTGACGGTGAGAACGTGGTTCTGTAGACTCAGCACTAACCAGGCTGAGGTCAGCTGGGCACGTGATGCGATCGCTTCAGAGTCATGGCACTTCTGAATTACAGCAAGCAGGTATGGCACTCCTGATTTATATCTCTCAGATATCAGAAACATGTACTGCGTAAGCAGAGTGACAGAGGATGTGAGCACAGGCACATGCTGTGCTTGACATCTGCCCTAGGTCATGGCATTTACTGGGATCCCATGTCATGACAGCCAGGTATCAGTCTCACACTGTTTGTTCCAAATTAAATAGGACCTTTTGTGAGTAATAGTAAATTTTTGAGACAACTACAGTGGACCCTCCGGAAACGAATTAAATTCGTTCCAGGGGTCTGTACTTAACCTGAAAAGTCAGTAACTGGAGGCGCCGCTTCTGCGCACGCACATGGCACGCAGAATACTTCTATGTATGCGTGCATGGCAAAACCTGGAAGTTTACACTTCCGGGTTTGCCATGTTCGCAACCCGAAAGTTACGTATCCAGAGCAGTACATAACTCGAGGGTCCACTGTATTATTATTTTTTAAAGTAAACCTTTTCATAGTGATGCCAGGGACTTGGTTAAAATGCTTTCTGTTGTGTTGCTCCACAACAGAACGACATGGCAAGCAGCACAGAAGAGAGGCCACCATTAGTGATAGCCCTCACAGGCAGTTTGACAAATGCTTCTTATTTTAGTTGATTAAAAATCTTAAAAACAATTAATCAAACCAATTAATCATTGCAGCCCTTATTGCAATTCAGAGAAGAACCTTAACTCAAAGGTAAAGCTCCTACAAGGATGATCTAACTTGAATCCTGCTGTTTGGAAAAAAGATTGTACAGAACCAAACTCCTCTTTGACATCGGACCCACATAGTGATTAGCTCAACTCACAGCCAGGTAACTCAACTTCTTTTCTCCTTTCCCAAACTTAACTTGTGACTGGGAACGCGGGGAGGAGCATGGGACAGGATGGGACCTGCTGCCATTTTCTAATTTTGACAAGGTGGGAAACTAATAGTAAGAACAGCTAGAAATATGACATAATAACAATAACAATAACAATACTAATAATTTATATCCCACCCATCTGGCCACTCTGGGCGGCTTCCAACAGAGATTAAAAATACATTAAAATATCAGTCATTAAAAGCTTCCCTAAACAGGGCTGCCTGTTAAACAAGGCTCACAAGGGACCATTCACAATGAGACACTTCTTGCAAAGCAAAAAAGCCATAGCTCAGTGGTAGAGAGCATGACTGCATGCAAAACACCGCTGCCAGTTAATGCCAACAATATTGAACTGGATGGACCAATAGTCTGGCAGCTTCCTAGGCTAGTCATGAAAATTGATATGGTGGTATCGGAATTGCTTTGAAGTTATGAACACAGCTATGGATGATTACCTTCTCTTGCAAGAAGTTCCCCACTCCTGAAGGCAGGTGTTAGGCAGGTGTTTACTGGGGTATAAGGTATTTCCTGTGGTGGCTCCCAGTTTGTGGAACATGCTCCCCAGACACATCTGTGGAGCATTGACTTTATTAGTCAGCAGACTTAAACAATGTTATTTTCTCATGCATTTTCTGGACAGTGTGCTTTCTGTTGATTTTACAGGGGTTTCTTAAGAGCTTTAAGTAGTGTTTTGGCCATTAAGTTGTTTTTAAGCAACTTTGAAGACTGGTGGGGTTTTTTTTTTAGCAAAAAGTTTTGATAAATATCGTTCAGTATGCAGTATTAATAAACAAACTCATGCCCCTGAAATATATTTATTACCCTAAGGCAGTGCAGCACTTAAAAATATATCAATTTACTGGCTCAGTTGGTAGAGCAGGAGTTTCTTAAACTCAGGGTCGTGGGCTTGAGCCCCATGTTAGGCAAAAGATTCCTGCATTGCAGGGGGTTGGCCTAAATGTCCTTCGTGGACCCTTCTAACTCCAAATTTCTATTATTCTGACTATGTGAAGAACAGCTGGAGGGAGGAAGAGAAATGCAAAAAGAATGTCCCTTACTCTCACCCCCAGCCATTTTATATAAAAGTCAAGGCATGGTATGGAACCGCTGCTCAAGGAAATGGTGAGGGGGGATTCCAACCCAGCTCTTAGTATAATGGGAAGAGCGAATAGCAGCAGTGGGAGATAATGTAACCTCATTGTTTCTTCAAGGCTGTCTGCCCCAAGGTTTTCCATACCTCACTCCCAGAGGCCAGAGATTAAATTCTCCCTATGGGGGCTCTTTGCCTTGCACTTTAATATGTTTTATTAGTGGAGGAGAGGGAAAGGGGAGGGGGGATGAATCTGCTACTGAATTGGATATTGACTTTTGGTGGAGCTCAGTTGCCTCTTCTGGCTCAGAAACATGTTGAATTAATTTGTGCAGAACAAATAGACAATAAAACCTAAAAGACCCAGAACATGAGAAAAGCTTATTCTACATTATTCTGTCTAAATGAAAAGAAAACAACCCTATATTTGTTTTAAACGAGTCCAGGCTCTATGATTCTCCTCAGCATGGGAAGTGCTGAGGTCAGATAGCGGCTATCCACTCCCGTAAGGATCACATGTTCTTGTTTTGGCTGGGTGGGGGCAATTCCATGATTTTCATGCAAATTCTCACAGAAACCATTTACCTTACAGGATGCCTAACACTTCCCATTACCCTATGGAATAGGACACATACCGTATTTTTCGCCCCATAGGGCACACCGGCCCATAAGGCGCACCTAGTTTTTTGGGGGGGAAATAAAGAAAAAAAAATTATTTGTCCCCCCAAGGTGCGAGGCTGGGGCGGGGGAAGCCCGAGCTTCCCCCAACCCCAGCCCCCAGAACAGGCTGCTCTCCGCAAGCCGTGGGAGCCCTCAGCGCGCCGGGACATCAGGATAAGAGGCATCTCTGCGCAAGCCGGGGGAGCTCTCCCACGGCTTGCGCAGAGCTACCCGAAGCCCCAGCGCGACTGCTCAGCGCGCCAGGGCTTCGGGGTGCAGGCAGCTCTGCCCAAGCCGTGGGAGCCCGGGGGAACTCCTGCGGGCTCCCACAGCTTGCGGATAGCTTCCTGAAGCCTGGAGAGGGAGAGGGGTCGGTGCGCACCAACCCCTCTCTCTCTCCAGGCTTCAGCGAAAGCCTGCATTCGCCCCATAGGACGCACACACATTTCCCCTTCATATTTGGACCATCCCATCACTTAGGGGTCTTTGCAGTGCTTTCTTATCGAGTACTTCCTTGACTCACTCACCCCCAATCTTCTTTCCCAGTTGCAAAGAAAGTACAAGTACATTCTTACATTCACCTTTTTTGAAGCGACAGTTTCTCCCAACCCTCCCCTCTCTCTGTTCATTTTCCACCGTCAACCTGTAGACAGTGTAAGCTCCTTGGGCTGGAAACGAATTGCTTTTGTTTATGCTGTAAAAGTGACATGCACACTAATAGTTCGATCTAGGCACATAGTGAAGCTTTCTAAAACCCATTCTCCAAACATAATCAGCATTCTGAAAACAATAAGCTGGAGGCATGGTCTCATGGGTCATTCATAGTTGAGTCTCTCTTGATATGGTTTACAATGTAAGCATTTACATTTCAAAAATAAAACCACCAATTTCTTTCTAAACTTTCCTTCAAAGTGCACATCACCCATGAAGAAGAGTCAAAGCCACATTTTAGCGTTTCAGGGTAAATAGGCATATGATTTTATTTTTTCAAATAACAAAAATATCAATTATCCATTGGCATGTGAAGCTAATATATGAAGTAAAATTCAGAAAAAACATAAAAGCGTGGGTCATGTGCTGTTGAGAATTAGTGAGACATAAAAACTTCATGGTCATGATCACAATTGAGCATTTGTGTGTTGTATTCCAACTAAAGCTGTGGGGAAAACTCCTGAAATTCTCCACCTGTTTGTGGGCTGCAAATTGGGGCATGAGCGAAAGAAACCATTTCACCACTGTTCTAGGGCATGGGGTGGGAACCCTTTTTCTGACCCAGGGATGCACTGCCTCATAGGCAACCTTCTGGTGTGGGGGTTTGTGGGTGGGTGTGATGCCAGTGATGGCCGTGGCATCACTGCCCTGAGAAAAACAGGACATCTTGGGGGTTTTCCCTGCGAGAGCATGACAGCCATTTTGGATACCATGCTATCTCACGATTTTGGGCCAAGATCTCATGTGTTGCCCCCAAATGTGTGTTTTGGGGCACCATACCCCCCAAATCACTTTTCTGGGTCCGCAATTTCATGCGGGTCACGTGATTCACACAGAATTTCAGACCTGGAAGATGGTCCCCCGGATTTGGGCCACATTGTGTTGGAGGGTATGCCATGGTCAGAGTCAAAAATGGGTGTAACAACAGGTAAAGCAGGCGACATCACATCCACATAAAGTTCAGAAGATTCTACACATACCTGTCCCATCCAGACAAGCAAGAGGTATTACCACAGTTCAACGATGCATTCCTGACAAGCAAAATATCCAAGGAAGACATAGAGCAGGGACTTCTTTTTCTGGGGGATATTTTTCCGCAGAGAAACAATCTCAAAAATTTCTCTGATAAGTTTTGCCTCAGCTCTAATTTCAATTTACTTAAGTCAATGGGACTATAGTCTGATTGATTCACTGTGCAGGGCAGGGAGTGGGTGATTGTAGCCATAGGAATGAATCGAGTATATTAAAGTAGAGATTTAGGTTGTTTTGGCTTCTACCTGACTGAGACAATGATCACTGTTCAAACAAATGCTGGAAGCTTCACGGTTGTCACTATCTGAATAGCCTAACAATGTGCCCTTTCAACAAGAATTGACCACTGCTGTATTTATTTAAATTTAATTTAAAAAATATTTCTATGCTGCCGTTTCAAAAAGAAAAATTTCAGAGATCTATATAGCAGATATAAATACAATAAAAATAATGTCAAAGCAAAAATCGCAGATCACTGGGTAGCTGTAGCAAAAAGATTTTTTTCTTTAATGGTCTGCATAAGCCTGGAGGCATAGAAAGGCTTTTAGTGAATGTTTAAGAATTAATACAGAAAACACTGGTTAACCCTTTCTCTGTCAGTTTTTCAGCTAAAAAGAACCCTTTGCAAGTTGCTTTTTCACCAGGGGAGTGATAAGCGCAAGACACAGGCATCCCATAGACTTCTACTTGCTGCCCACAAGTGAATAAGAAACTTGGGCGGGGTGGGGTTTGAACTGGAAACCATTAAAAGGAGAAAAGGGAATGCAATCTCTTTCTCTGCAGCCTTCTGCTCAAATGTCCCAGGCTGCTCAGGATTAAATTCCCTCTGCCTCAACAAAAAAAAAACCCTAACCAAATAAGTAGAGAAAAGGATAATAGAATCCACATAATGTGTAATTTTGAGCTGAAAATTAAGCTATTCTATATGAAAGAGTTTAGTGTAACTGAGAAACTTGCTTACTATTCCAATAGAATCAGTTCATTGAAAGACATTAGGGGCACATTCCAGCAAAATTAAGCACTTTTGAAGCCCACTGATTTCAATGACAGAATTAAGATCATGCTTCAAATCTCTCCAGTTTAAATCAATAGGACTTAAAAGTGTTATCATGCCCTAGGTAGCTTTTATCTTGGGCAGCACTGTGCTTCGAATAATTACTTAGAAATTGCACCACTCATAACTTAAGTTCCACTGTGTTCCACCGTGCTTACTTCCAAGTAAACATGTGCAGGACTGCAGCTGTGCAGCTACAGCCTATGCACATCACCTAAGAAATAAGTCCCATGGAGTTCAAAATATGTCTTACTCCCAAATATATATACACAGGATTGCAGTCTTAATTTCCATGTCCAATATTTAACTGAATCTGGCCAGTTTGCAACAAGATCTGTGACACTTACTTGGAACAAGCAGGGAGACATAAGCAACTACGAAACAGATGTCAAAAGAGAATATAAAACAAAGCAAAAATCAAAGCAAGGAGGTGACTATCACATTTTGGTTAAATTTGCAATGCTGTTGTTCAGTTGCAGAAAACACAAAGACCAGAATAAATTTAAATGACAGATGAATAGTGAATTCCTGGGTAAAAGATCAAACAACCAAGCCTTAATTTGGAGCATGCAGAGGAATGCAGCCACAGTTGTCTGTTCTTTAAGAGTAAAAGGGATTATGACAGACAGCTGTCAACTGGATTGCTACAGCTGGCCTTGCTTCTTTGGTTGTGGTCCTTTTGCAAGCAACTGTGTTGGTCCTAACCTGGAGCTCTTCAAAGCTCCTTCCATCTGTTCATATCATAATAATCTAGCTTTGCATACTGACCGCAGCTGCCCAGCGCAGCTGGTCCCTCTTCGTGTTCATTCTCCCCAGTATTCAGGCAAGTGTTAAGCCTACCTCCATCAGGCCCTGTAAGGTCTGTCTACAAGGAACTGGAACTAACCCACTCACAATAAACTGAGCATTTCTGAACTAATATATTCCAACTGTGACAACCAGCACATCTGAGCCTGACTTTCTGAACTAACGTTAGCACCACAGAGAGATTAAATCTTTATTGTAACAAGATTATTATGGTTTCCTAGGCAATCCAAACCATACAAACAACTAGGGAAACATCATTTAAAAGACAAATCACGTTGATTTCTCTTACAGAGTACTCCCTTACACATGTCTACTCAGAGGTTAGCCTAATTGAATTCAATGAAATTTACTCCATGGTAAGTAGACTGAATAACATCCCTAGACTGAATAACATCTAATGTCTCAGGGGACCTTTGTGGGGAAGAGAAGAGGAAACTCAAGGAATGCTCAACCCAAATTAAACCTTCAGACTGGAAGTCTGAACAGCGCAAACTTGTTAGAGAATGCCCAGTTGAAGTACCATCTCCCCACCTTTACTTTAGGTCAGGCTTCCTCAACCTCGGCCCTCCAGA